AGAAAGAAAGAAAGAAAGAAAGAAAGAAAGAAAGAAAGAAAGAAAGGGGTTTTTTTTGGGGGGGGATATATATAATAATACAAACAAGTTAACAATCGTCCAACAATCTATAGTTGCCTGTATACACACTCTTTGGGTGTGTGTATGTGTAAATATAAGTAGCGTTTGAGCAGTCATCTATGATACTAGTTGCATACATTGATAGATCTGTACAGCAACATGTTAAAAAACACTCCAGAATATAGGACCCGATCCTGCACACTCCCCCGCCCTGAGTCAATGGCTAGACCAACGGACTCCAACTGGCCCGCTTGCACGCTCCATCCTGGAAAGAGCTCAGCCCCTAAGCGGCTCCCACAGGTTTTGGGGGTGGGTATGTGGGGACCATTCGGAGGTGAATAAGAGTTTGCAGGATCGGGCCTTATTTCTTTGATTCAGTTTCCGAAGTTTTTAAAATATTTTATGGGACAGCGAAGTTCTAGAAATAGGGTGGGGACGGGGTGGGAGGGTACACACAGCACTTTGCACACGAGTGTGTGTGTGCATCTCCGTGCACACACCGTGTGGAGGAGTGTGTTGATTTCTAAGGTGTTTACATGGGCACAGGCAATTACGCAGCCTTTGATTACATTTTGTCTCTTGCATTAAATACAGCGGACTCTTTCTCCCCAGATGCTGCAGCCTGAAAATCCTTAGCCAGAACCAGGCTTGTGTGAAGTTTACTAGCCCCAATAAGGCTTTGTCCAAATGTGCATCCTTCCCCAAATCACAGCAAAAGCGCTGCGTGCCCTCCTGCCTCCCCCAGCCCATCCTGCAAGGGGCTGAGCGACCTCAGCGCTCACTGAAATCGACGGGACAGGAGGGAAAAAGGCTCAGCACCTGCCCTAAACACAGTCACCACTGCGTTGCTGATCTCCTCACCTTGGGCTTGCTGCCCCCGATGGCCCCCGGCCGGATGGAGCCAGTCTCCTGGTACCTGCAGAGGATTTTGGAGACGCAGCCGTGGGACACGCGCAGCTGGCGAGAGATGACACAGGGCCTGATCCCGTGATGGGCCATCTCCACTATCTTGTGTCGGATATGGTTGGGTAAAGGCCTGCCATTGATAAAAACTCCACCGAGCTGATTGACTCTGCCCTGGCCTAACGGAGTAGACACTAGAAAGGAGGGGGAAATGGAGTTACTTGTTGTGTGTGCTTTCAAGTCAACCCGACTTTCTCTGTGCGCACACACTCCCCCATCCACATGCACACAAACACGTACCCGAGTTCATCCGCTCCCATCCTTGCGCCAGTTTAGTGCTACGTTGCCTGACTGGACAGATCTGTAATGGTTAGAAACCCTGGGAGTGCCTGACAGCTGAGTGTCATCTTCGCACAACAGTTAAATAATGTTTCAGATTTATCAACAGAGCGCCTTCAGAGAAGGGAAATATTAAGTGCTAGTGGGAACCTGACTATTTCCAGAAGCAACTTCAGGAGCCAGATGACACATCTTATTTACATGTTAGTTACATAGGTACCACTCGGCCCTTCCAGTTAGAGGGGTAACTGAGAGCCCTGACAATTTCGGGATTTTGTGAATCTAATCTAATCTATCTGTAAAACAGACTGCAGGAGAAAACCAGCGTAACATTTTCACCTGTTACACTCTCCATCATTTACTATTGGAAAGACTTTAATTATCTACTTTAATTAGCCGCTACTAATGGGCTCCTGGTAGAAGTGAAAAGGGGGGAAAACATACAACTTCCGGAAGAATCTTTTAAAGGGTTTGGAATACACAATTCTAACCTGCTTCCTGTTATTATTCTTCCTCGACTCTAAAATTGGGTTCCTGGTGTCTCTTTTTCTTTTAGTTTCACCCCTCATCGCTCGACCCTTTAACCGTTTTTACAGAAACGTTAATAAGGAACAAAAGTTTGAGAGACTCTACTCCAGGAGGATAGGGGAAGTGAACTGGTGTCTAAAAGTCCGTTTCACTGTTTTAAAGTATTGCCGTCCTTAAACTTGCCGAGAATCTGAAGAGATTTAGAGCCGGATATTGCAGTCCTTATTCAGGCTAACTTCCCATTGGTATCCGTGGGAGTTTTGTCTGAGTAAGGGGTGCAGGATCGGGTCCCAAGATTAAGAAGACAGAACCCCTGACAATCAATAGGATCTCCCCCAACTTTGTTCTGGGGCTCTAATTTGCAATACTGCCTTCTTCAAAACAGAATCCGTGTTTTGCTTATGTGGAGAACGTTAATGCAAACAATGTATATTATATGTGTGTGCATAAATTGTGAGGGAGTCCTTTTGTGCAGTCACTTTTCCATGTTGTTAAGAGTTTTTTCTAGCTCTAACCTTGTGCAGTTGCAGTTCTAATTTGTGTTTTAATCTAAGTAACTAGTGCACAGCATTGGGGGGAAAACGTTTCTCAGCAACACACACACAGGTTTGAACACACACACAGACACATACGGGTTTGAAAATTCATCATACAGCTAGAGAGCATTCCTACCTTCTAATGGAAATCCGCTGCGAGGGTAGTTCTGCCCGGGAGCTGGTCGCATCATTCTTGGGACAGCTCCAGCTAGAGTTGTCATGTTGTATACAGCTTTACTTTAATATTATATCCAGGTGAATGCTGATATACGAGAGATCAGCTCTGGCAATAGATCCCACTGAAAAAGGGAAAGTCCTGGAAAAAAGGGAGGGGGAAGTTGGGGAGGGGGGAACGACTTGCTCTCCTTTTGTCAATAAGACGTGATATCCCAAAGCAAAGGGGAGAGAGAGAGACAAAAAGGAGAAAGGGAAACAAAGTTTGGGGCGAGGAAGGGAAAGTTGCATACAAGTCGCGGGAAAGAGCTCAGGCGGCTGCTGGCCACTGTGTGAAGATGAGCGCACTTTGATATGAAAAGGGGGAGGGGGTGGCAGGAATGATTTCTTCCTGTTGTTGATACAGAGTGAAAGGAACTCCGCTCTGGAGTATTTATTAGTTCTTTCCCCCAAAGCTTCATCAGGATCTCTGAGCTGCGATTGGCCAGCAGGGAGACTGTCCCGTCTGGAGAAGACAGGAGCTGATTGGGTGAAATCTGCAACTTTCTCTTCTCATCATTACAATCGAGGCCTCAATCTAGGAGTGTGACCCAGGCATTGCCTCTTCCCTTGATAAAGTGTCCTTTCATAGAATGGCTGGACAGGAGAAAATGCAGAAGCAAGGGAGAAAGCAGCCTTCAGTGGGGAAACTGTTCATTCCTTTTACAACTGTCTTGGCACAATGCCACTTGAAGGAGATTACAATAAGGAAGCAACCAGACACTTGCATTTCTTGAAGTCGGTCTCTCTGGTCACCTTTTCTTTCCTGAGGGATTGTAGACGTACAGCTGTATGCTGTCCTGGTCAAACAGCCTGCGAGAAATTAAAGGGGAAGTTGTGTTTCTATTGATACAGTTCTTTGTCTGCCTATTTCCACCAGCACATCTTCTCTGAGAATGTGTGAAGGGAGGAATAAAACTGTCCTCTCTCTCCTTCTCTTTCTCGCTTTCTCTTTTCACTGAAATCGGTAGCAATGGAGAATAAAATCTCTGGAGCAAATGGTGCTATTCGTTTTTTAAGCAGAAGTCTCCATTGTTCCCACTGGGAATTTCTGCTTTAAGAACGGATGGCAAAATGTGGCCCTATATTATATATTTGTCTGTGTGTGTGTTAAAGTAAGTCTTGCTAACAAGCATTTGTTCCCAGGAATTTATTGTAGTATTCAAACTAAACTGCTGGAAAAATAAAAGAAGTAAAGTCTGACTAGGAGCTGAAGTGACCACAGCAGGATATGACGCCAGGAGTGTTGTAAAGACTGTCTGTCCTTAAAGAAGGTACTATTGTGCATGTCCTTTTATTTATAACTTGGTAAGTGCCAGCAAACTCGCCTCCTTTACACTCTGAAGTGCCAGCCCGGCTTTGCACAGTGCTCTTTATTTGCAATAGTCTATTCAGTAACTGTCACTCTCGAGCCTCAAGTTATTCAAGACCTTAATCAATCAAAAGGATGAGAATCGTTCAGGTTTCCCCCCCTTTGAAATACAGGAAACAATGAGTTCTAGGCTTAAAGTTTCCCCTTTCCCTTTACGATTTTGGGATTTTTTCTGTGGCTGATTCCGTTCTCTTTGGGGATTAATGGTAGTTTAAAAATGTATAACTAATAAACTAAATTATCCCGCAAAATAAAATAAACAACGAAGAAGCCACAGGTCTCAGACTTTACTCAGTGAAAACTAAAGGGCACAGTAAAAAGAGTTTTAGGCAGCAAAATGAAGGTAGTTTAGAGTGGAAGATCTGAAGAAAGAGCCCTGCATTGATGCTATCATCATTAAAAAATAGACAGTAATTTAAACTAGAGTCACGCAAATGCCATAATGATTAGTTATCTACCTCCTAGATGTTTACGAGCTTCCAGGCTGTTGATTCTGCGCTCTCAGACCCTGCATATCAGAAAGAAAATAAAAGAAACTAGATCACTTTTAAAATGTATCATATACAAATTATTAAACCTCTCTGGACTCCGACATTTGGGAACAGAGCCGGTAGGAAAACCTTTAAAAAAGAAAAGAAAAGAAAACAGGTTACTAATAAAAGTTTGCACACTTAAAACTATTTTATATATTTTTCTATCAAAGTATCTTAATTATTATGTATACCTAAAATACTGAGAGGAAAACTGCAACTGCATCTGAAAAAACCTGGAGAAATGTTTATCAAATTATTCTGTTTTTTCATAGCTATTTGTATTCCGCATACATTACAATACTCACTTGTGGTCATGTTTTTTAATGCACACACTAATATAAAGATGTTTTAACATTGAAATGTGTAGCTTGTCTAGAAAGTTTCCAAAAGTTTAATTTAGGCCACATGATTTGCCATTTAATTTTAGTTTCCTAGAATGAATATGCGGAAAATATATTGCTTGGTTTTAAAAGCTGAATCGTGCTTGAAAAAAAAATCTAGAGCTAAAAGTGTGTGCATGCGGATTAAGATATTCAGTAGCAAATAGATTACAATATTTCATAGCATACAGGATTTCAATGTAGTGACCTCACCAGCAGTTGTACATTACAGAGACCTGAAACCGGAAAGTGCATACAGATAATATTGCCACATTTCTGATAAAGTACAGCACAATAATTTTGACATCTGAATCTGGAACCTAAGTGTGTAGTATGATATAGGAATCCATGTATACACTATATAATATGGTACCACTCTCTGTTTTAGAAATAAGATGGTGGTAACTCACTGATAGTAGCTGCACTTCAATGATAGGTGTTAAATGAGTGAACTACATTGTTTCATTTCCCCACAGTATGTTTATTTTTCCTTTTGTCACTGCCCTGTGAGTGTATATGGACGTAGTGGTGACTCCTGATAGCTTTACAGCTGTTATCGGGAGATAGGTAGAATCCCAGGCCCTCGTGGGCCGGGATGCATTTGCTGAAAGTCATTGCTTCGGTAAAATATACACTGTTCAGGGGCCGATTTCGCTCACGTTGAAGTCAAGGGGATTTTTGCCATTGACTTCAAAGCCAGTAGAATTAGACCCCAGAAGTGTTAACTTCCACTTACCTCATACAACCCTCGCCCATGATTTTGTGTTAATGTAGAAACTAGCTCAAGTCACTACCCTTCTGCCTGCAAGTTGGGGATGCTAAATGAATTGGCTAAAGGGGTTATCTGACCAGACACATTGCTAGTAAATCGCTCGATCTCTATTCCTCTATGACAGTCGCTGCCTTTTCTGGCTTGGTGTAGAACGGTCACTGTTCATGGCAAACTGAACTGGGCTTGATACCCACCCAGCCACTTCGGGGACCACAGGATAAAACTCTCCTCTCATCTTCCCTGCCTAGCCAGGCCCATCTCCGGGGCACATTATGGAGCCTTTCCTAGCAAGGAAACCAGTTGTTGCTGTTGTGGTTGTGCCAGCCGCAGTAAATTGGGCCTCTGTACCAGAAACATTAGTCCCCTTCTCTCCGCAATGTCAGGGCTCCGTTTAAGTGAGTCTGAGCCCAAGAGTTACATAAAGCAGAGAGAGGCTGGCTGGAGTCGGAGCTTTTAATTGGAAAACTAGTACCCTTTAGGGCCCACAGGCTTAAAAAGTGATCTCCAGTGAGCAACACCGCCCCAAGCCTGCGTGCAGTTTGAAACCTCTGCAAGCTTAAGTCCCGGCAGTGTTTTCCAAGAAACAGATTTATTTTCTAGAAATGGGGGGAGAGGAAAGGGGAGGCGAGCATGTTATAGATCTTAGTGCCTTTTGCACCTCAGAGTCATACGGCTGTATATTTTCCCATGGTAGGAAACAGACCCAATCTTCCTATATCATGCATGGAAAATTGTTGAATATACATGTCTTTCTTATTCAATCAGACGCTTCTTTCATGGCACACAATTAAGCGGGTTCACGGGGATTCAGAATTGCCCCACAAACCAGAAAGTTACGAAATAGAAAGGAAAAGAGGACTAACAAGACGCTCCATTTATGTGAAGTAAAGGCAATACAGCATTTCAAGGGTAATATACATGCTGACTCTTTACTTGCTATAGTTCCTCTCTGGTGGCATTTTTCATTCAGAAATAATATGGTCAGCATAAAATGTGGAGCCTCCTGCTCGCTTATATCGCACGTAACCACCGTGTGCTTTGTAGGAGGGAAATGAAAATGTTTCATTGACTCGGGGCCCGATCCTGCGGCCACTGAAATCCATGGCAGTGCTCCATGGTTTGAATGGGGACAGGATCGGGCCCTTCCGGATATTTTATAGACACCGGGTTCTATCCTGTTTCCCATTCAAGACAATATAAAAATGCCCGTTGTCTCGAATGGGACAGGATCAAATCTACAAAGTGTGAAAATGATTTAAAACCCACTTGCCCTGGGAGTTTTGCCTGAATTTGCAGATTCTGGCTCGTGGATATCAATGTCACAAAAGTCGAAATAGTCCCTCATCTTCTCCTGCACAGGAACTGTTAAACTTCCAGGCAAAATGATTAGACATGAATGCCTAGCCCCCCATATTAGAGTCTTTAGTCCAGCAGAGAGGATTTCACGGTTTTCTAGTGGAAATAGCTAAAAATACTCCTGCTAATTACAAAGCCCTTCCAGGCCAGGTGCACTTTTAATTGGATTAGTAAATGCTCTATATTAAACCTGCAGCACATCAAATGGGCAGTGAAAATTAGAGCTATTAGGAACAGAGGCAATTATTTATGAATGATAACAGTACTGTTTTCTCTTCTATTACAAAAAATCAATTATAATGTTTTCGGGGCTCTCCAAATGCAGTGTGAATTGCTATTATTCGTATTTATCATGAAGCTTGTTTAGCGTGAATTCACCATACAACTACTTCCACGGTGGCAAAATTTATCTTAAGTGTAAATTAATTTTGGACCATGTTTTGAAGAAAGAAAGAAAGAAAGAAAGAAAGAAAGAAAGAAAGAAAGAAAG